GGCGAAAAAGGGCTTCAGCTGGTGGGGGAATCGGTGAGATTTGGACGGCTGTCGAAGTAGGACAACGGCAGAGTTTCTATCTGAGGCGCTACTGTTAGCACGACCGTCTGAAGATTCCGAGAAAGGGGTTGGGTCAAGAGAGTGAAGATGGGATGGGAGAGGGCTGGGGTCACATGACTGTATGCACGGTGTCGTGTTCATCCCTAGGTGCAGAAATGGTATACTGAATGCACATAAAAGTCGAAGAGTTCATTGCTGGTGTTGTGGGCTGTTGTACTACTCGGTCGTCCGGTTCAGAGTAGACCGAACTGGAAAACATCACAGTACATTTGAACAGCTGCTGACGATGAATACCGGAAAAACTACATGTATTTTTGCAGCTACCATTGTTGAGTAAGATCAAGCCATAGTGAAATCTCTCGTTGGTAGTATATGATGGAAAAGCGAACTCAGTAGTTCTACACTATTATCTTTTAGCCCACGGAAAATTCACATTCGCTCGGTAAAAACGACTGAAGACTAAAGTAGCGCTTCCAGTACATTACGGTTTTGATCCGATTCGAAAGTGGTCTTCTTCGGCACGCATGGAATAGTGAATGATACCTACCTCGCATCTGTTATATATTATTTGACCAAATAATTAAGTACGCGATGATATAAACAGTTCTTCTAGTTGCAATATTTAAATGTGCCTGCAGCCGGTCTGTAGACCGGTGTGCAAACAAAGACCAAACGATCCTGCATGCGTTATCAAAGAGTGGGATGCCTTCGACCTTGTACAAGACATGCGTGAGTGTCTGTGGTGGCAGGCCGCATCGGTCAGTCATGTGATGTGCGTTGGACCCTTCAGTTGATCGCAGGCCACAACAGTACTGTTACCGCTTCCATGTACATCTTTGACCGGCCATCTGCATCATAAGGGAAACACTTGCGTATTTGTTCCTCTTTACGATCCTCATGTGTTTCACACAACTCCATATATGTATGTGATAACGAACCTTCCTCATGATTCACTTTATCGCGCATCTTCATTATGGGGGAAACGAATTGATCACCTAGTGTCGGTTACTGTGAGGTCTACTTTAGAAATAGTCCCTCTATCCATTTCATCAACACAAGAATAAGACACATATAGACAGAATTGATATTGGCCATAGATTTCACGTGCTCCTATTCAGCTGTAAACGTATACTTATATATGAACATGTCAACGAAGGAACGCGAGAGTTGAACTGAGTCGTTTGAACACGGTAGTAGACAAGTGATTTGTGATTTGTAGCACATCCTGTAAAGAACTCACAATACCGCCAGGTTAATGATCGTCTTCAGGACGTTTCGTTTTATCAGTCGCTCTAGGTTCCATCCCCTCCACTGACACCCAACTTTAGTGGTAGGCAACTTTGCTGTCGTCCGGTTGAGTGCTACAAATAACCTTAGAGGGACATTTATGTGGTTCGCTACTCCAAGTCCCGGGGCTTAGGTTGCCGGTTTTTATAACTGAACAGTAGGTCCTCGTGACCGTGAAGTTTATCCCGTCTGCTGTTCATCGCACTAAGTTGTGTAATAAAAAAACTAACATGGATCGAGAAAACGTTAGTGGTACCTACCTCCAATTGCATCTATTCATTTCAATGCACCTGCGGTCAGATGTACATTGGAAGGACAGAACTTCGTTGACGGCTATTTATTATTATTATTATTATTATTATTATTATTATTACTATTTACCGCTATCCTAAGTTTTTCTCATTCTAAATAACTCTCCACAAACCGACACTGGTCTTTTCCTATCATAACAGTCAAAACAGTAATGCAGCGCTTCTCCAGTTTTCCGAGTTACGATTCATTTGCTCTTCGTTTGCACTGTATAAACTGAATTCGTTTGACTGCCTTTTTATCCACACCCCGACCTGTAGTGTAAAAGTGAGTCTTCGCAACCTATAACGAAGTAAACCATGGTCAATAATTGAGGTTAACGAGACACTGTTAAACTTCTTTTCCATAAGCGTCACTGGTGTCTGAACTACCTCGGTGCAATTTAGAAACGTATTCTCGTTATCACGCTCCCATGGATACCAGAATATGAATAATGTATGACCCGTTTGAGTCAGTTATTAATCAGTGATCGCTTATCGTATGGTCGTGTTGTTATCCTATCGATCNATCGATCCATACGAGCGCTTCTTTCGTGACCACAACGTGATGAGCGAGTTACTCATTGAACAGATCACAGGAAACGGTTTCATTCAAAAAGGAGATGTGGATAGATCACTGGGCTGATGCATTTATGACTCTGACTTGCTGTTCCGGTGGATCACTGGCTGGGCGGTTCTGTATGATCCACTCAGATTCGCTTAGCCTATCGCACGGTGTACGCGTTCATCTTTTATCGCGCTCAATTTCGTCCACTGATCTTTCGGATGTCCCAATTTGACACAACGAAACTTCCAATCGGATCATCAAACCTCAGCCACGATAGATTAAGCACAGGGGCAATATGGTCATCTGAAGTTCTATGTGGGCTCACTTTGGTAGCGACCATACAATTGTTGTGTACTATGATGCTTTACTTTTGTGATAACCAGAGAAAACACCAATCGTTAATTGCGAATCAGAAGTCGTCCTTGCATTCGCCGGCCGAATCTCTGCCGTTAGTCAGACTCATCCAAAAAGCCACAGAAGTAGCGGTTTGGTTATTGGAAGAAATCAACAGAATGGAATAATCTGTATGGAGAAAGCTCGTTGGTTGGGCAGGTTCTCACCAATCGCCTGCTTTCATTCTTTTCATCACACAGCTTCTGTTTGAGCCATATGGTTTCTGATAGCTTTGTTCAAAAATTATAACTCGTAACCGCTTGGCTGGCGTTATTTTGGAAGAATTCATCCCCACAGTTTGACATGTATTTGGGTTAAACAGATCAGGGTACAAGGATGAAGCAGCTTCCGTTATAGTCTAAAGCATACCGTCTGATAGTTCCAGATGCAATGTTGTGCTGCGCATTGCACAGTTTCAACATTGTCAGGAATCATCAGCGCGCGGTTTGTGACAGTGCCAATGTGAATGAGTATGAATTAAACACAGTACCATCACACTACCTGGGTTGGCTTCAATGATTAAATTTGTGTTACTACTATTAGCCTATTCATCCCAACCACAATGAGGGAGAGGGCATCGAGGTTATCCTGATAAATCACCAGCTGTGTTACCCAAACCTAAGCAATATTGCGTTCGGTGGACAACTAACCATTCGCATTTTGTTCACGCGTTCCCTCTGGTTAAACGTAGCACATTATCAGACGACTTCAATGGAAACCTGTATCTACAATTTTTGATTATTGTCTAAATAACAACGGGGTATGCTGAGCCCTACAGTGAAACGAACTAACATCAACTGATATTGGCTATCCTTCGGCCATCACCTTAACGCACAATCCTCAGTTCATCGATTCAACCATACACTCGGAAGGACTAGAATCGACTTTCACTCTTATTGGAGCTCATAAGTGATGTAGATCCACCGTCCCGTCCGGGATTTGACCTCCGGACGCATCGCATGGAAAGCGTGTGCGTTACCACTGTGCCAACCAACTCATAGCATGGCTGAACCAAATTGTCAATTCATGTTTTTGTGTGAAGGTGAAGTCCGAAGGATAGTCAGTTCAAATCAATATCAATTATCCCACACCACTGTTCACAAGTAACTGAGAGTTAAATGGGAATATTTGACCGAACCTGGTAGGTTCGTGGCAAATCAGTTCATAACCTGCACGGAAGTTCTGACTTGGTGGGAGGCTTTCGATTGGAGTTAACAAATTGTCATCTGTGACTCGTTTCGTTGCTGTCAGGTGAAATGATCTGACTGACTACCACTGAAGACGACACCTAGACAAAAATGAATTGACAATTCGGTTCAGTTCTG